AGTTCTAGGAAGAGTGGGCAGCCATTTGAAATGTATGGTTGGACACAGAGTATGGGTGGCCTAGTGCGTAGGACCGCCCGTGGGAAACCCAGCCGGGCCTGTCTGCTTGGAATCTTCTTTACTCCGTGCAGCGTACTCTCCTGTTGGAGTGGGGACCTACAGTGGAGTCTGAGACCATGAGTTCTCTGAGTGTTACAGCTTGCTGTAGGAGAGAGGTGACAGAGGACAGGGCAGGAGGAGGTCAGAGAGCCCTTGTTTCTGACGCCTTCTAGTCTTCTTCATCTTCTTCGGTTTAAGTGTTCAGCTTGATAAGGACTCGTGTCTTGGGAGCCTCTACATTTAACAGGCATACGATGAGACAATATTCTTCAGTTGGATGAGGAAACTCAAAAAAGTGACAGTATTTATAAAGAAGATACTATCTTTGATGACACAGATGAAGGCTTCATTCAATGCATTTAATAAATGTGGAAAAATTTTAAGTACTCTATTAAATACAGTTGGGATTCTATATGTGTGCAAGACTAAATTAATAAATCCAGGCTAACAGTGTGACTAATTGTTGGTTTATTGATATTACTATAAGTTATTATATTTTTGTATCCTGTCATTGGGATCCAACTCACCGGATTATTTTGGGTCACCTTATATGACAATATTTGTTAGGTATCTTCAGGTTTTTGTTGTTGTTGTGATAAAGCACCATTACCAAAAGCAATCAAGAGAGGATGGGGTTAATTTTATGTAGTAAATAGGGCGGCGGGGCTGTATCCCCAGCACCCCGGCAGCCTGGCTAGCTTATGCTCCGAAATAACAACACACAAACTGTATTCATTTAAAAACTGCTTGGCCCTTTAGCTCTAGCCCTTACAGGCTAATTCTCACATCCCGATCAACCCATCTCTAATAATCTGTGAGCACCGGTCTTACCGGGAAAGGTTCAGCATGTCTAACCTGGCGGCTTGCTTCATCGTGTGCGTCTGCCCAGGAGAGCGGAGCATGGCATCTCTCTGAGGCGTCTGCTCCCGAGAGGAAAGCTGTGGAGTCTCTGAGCTCACTTCCTCTTCCTCCCAGCATTCTGTTCTGTTTACTCCACCCACCTATGTTCTAAGCTATGAGCCCAAGCAGTTTGTTTATTACTTAGCCAATGAAATCAACAGATTGGTATATGACACTCCCACATCACTTTTATATCCATCATCATGGGAAGTCAGGATAGGCATTCAAACAGGGCTGGAACCTGGAGGCAGGCGCTGATCCAGAGGCCATGGAGAAGGAGCGCTGCTTACTGGCCTGCTCTCCATGGCTTGCTCAGTCTGCTAGTCTGCTAGTTCTCAGGAGAACGAGTCCAGCAATGGCACTGCCCACAGTGAGCTGGGCTCTCCCACACCACAGATTTGCCCACAGGTCGGTCTAGAAAGGGGCACTTTCTCAATTGCAGATCCACCTTCCAGAGTGTGCTAGCTTGTGTCAAATTGACATAAAACTATCCCACACAGTGGGTTGTCAAGTCTTCAGCTATAGCCTTCAAGGCGTGGGGTAGCCCATCTGGGGTTGTCTTCTAAGGCAGGGACCTGTAAGAATGGAATCCCATCAGGAGATGAATGAGGTACCCAAGTTCAGATTTTACCTATTATTAATTTTTGGATGCCCTTGAATTTGAGTCCTAATATGAAACCTCCTGCTTATGGTTTTATTCTCATGACTTTTAATGGCTATTCCAGAATAACCCCAGCAAGTCCTTCCTTTTTTGAGGTGGTATCTCATATATTCCAGGCTGCCCTGGAACTCTCTGTGTAGCCAAGAATGACTTTGAACCTTTTTGTTTCTTTGTTTTATTTTTCAAGGCAGGATTTCTCTGTGCAGCCCTGGCTGTCCTGGAACTCACTTTGTAGACCAGGCTGGCCTCAAACTCAGAGAGTCACCTGCCTCTCCCTCCGAGAGCTGGGGTTACAGTGTGAACCCACTATATTTGGTTTATGTTGTGTTCAAGATCAAACCCAGAGCTTTATGTACGCTAAGCAAAGACTGTGCCAACCGAGAAACATCTCTAGCCCTTTTGTTATTAAAAGACATAGAAAGTTCTGTAAGATGAAGTCTTCTATGAGGCACTATTAAGCTGCATCTTCCTGATGGGTTTGGATTTCATCTTAAAAACCATGATGGTTAACTTAATTGTGCACTTGACACAACTTGAGAGTCCTAATGAGGGATTGTCAACACTGGGCTGGCCTTTGAGCATGTTTGTGCAAGATTATCTTAAATTAATTGATGTAAGAAAATTAAGGCACCGTGGGTGACATCATTCCCTAGACAGGGGTTTCCTAAATTGCATGAGAATGAAGAGAGTGAGCTCACGGCGATCAAGTGGGCCTATTTCATTTCTGCTGACTGCGGGTGTCATGTGACCAGCTCTCTCAAACTCCTGCCACGGTGACTTCCCTGCAGTGATAAGACTATAGCCTGCCCATTTTAGCTAGAATAAGCCCTTTGTCCCCTAAGTTGCCTTAAAAAAAAAAAAATCAGTGCTTTGCCACAGCAAGAGAATTAAAAGTAGAGCAAAAGCCCTGTGGTTCGGTTCAAACTTGTCTCTAGACCTCTCCATAAAGACATAGCAACCCAAGCCGCAATGTTGGTGATCCTGAAGCCTGCAGTCTGATTCTTCTGGTGTCTTCGGGACGAAGAGATGGTTTCCAAACAGGACTAAAAGGATGAAAGAGTTCGTTCCAGGCTCAGTGATGTTTGAAAGGCTTAAGATCGGCAGTGTGCCACAACTCCCCATCATCCACCACTGGTCTCCGGCAATTATTGACAAAATGATGGGTGTTTTAGGTGTTGGCTGACAGCTAACCATGGGAAAGGCCTCATCGCTTTGAATGCTGTGAGACTCTAACAGCAGAAGCCTTGCACTTTTGAAACAGGTCAGTCAAGTTTTGTCTTATCTGCGAATTTGCCTCGGCTTGCTGAGTTGGCAAGAGTGGCTCGCTACTTGCTGCCCAGGCTTAGCACACATCCCAAACATTGTTTCCCATTATCTCCCAGTGCTCAGGAGAAACTCAGTCTTGGTGCTTTGTGCCAGGATGCAATTCCCTTTCATTGAAGCCAATTCTGCTGTTTGTGTGTGGTATATGTGTTCATGTATGTGCATGTGGAAGCCAGAGGTTGCTGCGTGTCTTCCCCGGTTGCCTTCCTTTCATTTCTGTGTCTGTGTCTGTGAGAGTGTCCAGCCAGCCACAGAGGTCCCAGGAGGGGTGTGACTGGTGGTTCAGGGAGGTTAGGAAAGGTCCCTGGCCCCTCAGAGAAAGACTCCCCTCTGTTGACGGGGACATGAAGGGGGCTCGAAGGAGGCAGCAGGCCTTGGTCCAGGGATGATAGCGAGAGAAGATCCACACTGTGTTGGTCCCTTGCTTTGCTCTTCCCATGTTAAAGCAGCATTTTTGCTTTGTGGGTCTGAGAACTTTAGATGTCTGTAGTTCATATTATTTACAGTTACTAAACAGTCGTAATCCTGTCTTTGATCAACTATTGTTTACTGCAAGTTGCTCTGTCTCCAAGAAGCTCCTTGGATTTTTGCCTGGCCTGGTTCTTTCATGTGAGAGCACTGTGGTCAGTGCCTTCTGGACGAGCCGATTCATCCTTGAGAACCCTGTGGTCGGTACTCTGGATGAGCTGATTCGTCTTTGAGAGCACCGTGGTCGGTACTCTCTGGACAAGCCGATTCATCCTTGAGAGCCCTGTGGTCAGTGCGCTTTCTGGACGCGCCGGTTCGTCTTTAAGAGCGCTATGGTCAGTGTTCTCTCTGGACGAGCCGACTCGTCTTTGAGCTGGAGCGTAGTTCCTGCCCTCTTTTTAACGTTTTTATTATATTGTGTCTATGTGTGCTTTTCCAAGTGTGTGTGGGTGCCGCAGTAGAAGAGCAGAGGACAGCCTAGAGATTGTCTGTTTTGTTTCCTCCCGTGGGGGTCCTGGGGTTTTCAGGCTTGGAGGCCCATAGCTGAACCCCCCCCCCCCCATGGTTTCTTCATATCATCTAGGATGGCACAGGCTTGAGATTCCTCTGCCTACCTAGGAAAGCCTCAGCTTTTCCTAGCTCAGCAACTCTGGGAAAATCATTCTGCTCACTCCTCAGAGGGGAGCGGGTAGCCTCAGGTCCTTTACTACCCGACAGGTTTTTCTTTTCTAAAATTTCTTTCTTTTTTTCTCCCTCTGATTTTCTACTGCCTCAGTTCATTCTGCTATAGCAAAATACCTTAGATTGGGTAGTTTATAAACAATGAAAAATTTATTGTTTCCAGTTCTGGAGGCCCAGAAGTCCAATATCAGGATGGCAGCATCCCAAGACCCCTTTCTTCTTCATGGATGGCTCCTTCTCCTTGTGTCCTCCCAGGGCCCAGTGTCAAGAAATCTCCCTTAGGCCTCTTTTATGATAAAAGTACTAATCCCATTCAAAAGAGTGGGACCTTCATGACCTCATTACCTTTCAAAGGCCTTGCTTCATAACACACAAGGGATTAAATTCTAGCATACAGATTATGAAGGTCAAAACTTGCGTATTGCAGTAATCAGCCATTGGAGGATCTAATTGCTTAAATCTGTTAGCATTCTCCTGGTGAGGGATGAAGCAGTCTGGATCGCTGCTTATAAGAAGTTTTTGCTTTTGTTTTGTGACAGGGTCTCAAGTAGCCCAGGTTCGCCAGGAGATGAGGATGCCCTTGGCCTCCTGATCCCCCACTCTGCCTGCCCCTCCTCAGGGACAGGCTTGATGGCATTCACCAGCATGCACAGGCATGCCTGTCTTCTGCAGTGCTGCGGACTGAACCCAGGGCCTCGTGTGTGCCAGGCAAAGCACTCTGCCAACAGAGCTCCATTCCTCAGCCATGGGCATCTTGGCTTTTTGCTATCATTCTAAAGCAAATGTCCAATAGTTGAGCCACCAGATGGCTGATCCAGCTGGAGTTAGGTGGAGTCTGATCTGATTTTCTCTTGCTATCCTCTTTCAGGGAAGTCACCCAGATATCCCTGGTATGCAACAGTTCTGAGTGGGACCTGCTGGGAGGCCGGAGAGACCCCAACTGCCTTGCCCGGCCTGGTGTCAAGATGCTGAGTTGGAAGCTCCCTAGGCTGTTCCGTGTAGACCAGGTGCCTCAGGTATGTGCTTTCCGTTCCACAGCTGGGTTCCAGAGTCTGCAGGCGACCAGCCTCTGCAATAGGGGAGTTCAAGATGCTTTTTGCAGGCCCCTTCTCTTTTAGGCTGCCCTCTGAATCTCCTGCAGAAATCAGGACCCCTCGCCACACCCGTGCGCCAGGCTGGCTAAGGGTAGTCCTTCAATGCAACATCTGTGTTTCATCCAGAAGCAAAGTCCTTAGAGAGACCTTAGATTTGGTCTAGTCAGAGGAAGTAGGAGCAGCTGCTGGTGGGGAGGTTGGTTAGGGCCTACGGTGGTGCTTCAGAGCAGGCTAGGGAACAGTCACCTCAGCATGGCCCTGCACAGTGTTCTCTCTCTCCCTTAAGACCCACACCTCTGTTTTATTTGAGACAATCTAGCCTCAAACTCACAATCCCCCTACCTTGGCCTTCCCTGGGTAGGGATTATAGACTCCACCAGTGTTCCGAGCTCCAGCCTCCACTCTCACAGGAAGGCTAGGCCAGGTATGGGGTTGGGCAATGGGGAGTGTTACAGGTCTTTCTTTGGACTGCCAGCTCCCAAAGAATGATACGGAGAGTTCTTACTAGTTATGAAAGCTTGGCCTTAGCTTAACTGCATCCCTAACTAGCTTGTAAAACTTAAATTAACCCATTTATATTAATCTACATCTGCCACGTGGCTCGTTACATTCCCTCAGTACAGTAGTCTGACTTCTGTGTCTGGCTCGTGAATCCCCCACCTCTCAGATTCTTCCCAGAGTTCCTGTCTCTGCCCAGAAGTCCTGTCTGTCCTCTCCTACCAAGCTATTGGCCATTCAGATCTCTATTTAACCAATCAGAAAGTGTCATAGGCAGGTGAGGTAAAAGAGTGTCACATCTTCACGCTGTGTGATCTAGTATCCTGCAACACAGAAGGACTTGCTTAGTAGCTTTTCTTGTCTCCTTTTTGTGGATTCCTGGGACTAGAGAGCCATTCCAGCACACATGGCATGCCCAAACACCCTGCTTCCATAAGCCCTAAGATTTTGGTTATATGCTATGTCAAACTGGTGTGCCTCCATCTTGCCTTGTAGAGAAAGCACAAGACTGTACCTGTCTCTGGGTCCAGTTTCCTTCCTGCAGGACTGGATAAGAATCAACGTTTGTTGTAGGACATTTCACATGGAAATGAGAGCTCTTTGGGCTCAGCTGACTACTTACACTGATCTTGTAATACCTAACCAAGCTCAACATCACCAGCAGGACCATGAGCAGAGATACCTGACAGGCTCCTGTCTGTAGGTGTAGAGCTAGCTGGTGCAGGGAGATGGCGCTGGGCAGAGTCATTTGCAGAGCAGAGGAGCTGTGGGACAAGATGAGGAAAGCTGGCCACTCTAGAGGAGGTCCTTCAGCAGGGCCCTGCCTCTGGTCTCACAGGGCTGCCTGTTCTCTTTCCTGCTCACACATCAGTGACTGTGGCCAGTGGGAACACAGGGTAAGTCTTGGATTTATTCATTCGTGACATTTTTATTCACTTCTTCCTGTGTGCAGGATGTTTCTCTACAGAACTCGGAGAAGACTTGCAGGTCAAGCTCTGTCCTTATTGGGCTCCTCCGGAGCTCAGGGGGCTCTCAAAACTCTCACGAGTACTTTGTAAAGCAGCTCAGAGGAGAGACAGATGTGTCGCTTGCCTAGGGGAGGAGGGGATCAGGAGAGAGACAGTTAAGATGAGTTTCAGGGACTGGGAGAATAGCGGGTGGTAAGGTGCTTGTTACAAAAGCCTGAGGACTTGAGTTTAAAACCAGAACCCATGTGAAAAAGCTGGTGAGTGCTTGTAACCCCAGCGCTGGGGAGGCAGAGACAGGCACGGATCCCTGGGGCTCACGGTCAGCCCACTTAGCCTAGTCTGCAAGTCCCAGGCCAGTGAGTGACTCTTAAAAAACCAATATGGACGGCACCTGAGGAAGAACCACCCTGGAGATTATCCTCCGGCTTTCACACACACGAGCACACATATGTACTCATACATGCATACGTGAACACATACACACACTAAACAAATAAATGCAATGAAATTTTAACTCCTCCTAGGTAGTTCTGAGCCTCCTGTAGCTCCCCGTGCGCGAGGGTAAGGATGACTTTGCTGTGCCTTCTTCACGGGGCTCTGTGTCTCAGGGCCCAGCTGGGGCTGTAATCCAGCTTCTCCGCTTTTATTACCGTTTGCTTGAGTCATCTCTTTTCTTCCTTTGCCTTTCAACCCTTCCTGTTGTTACATTTTAGCCGCGCCTTGTGTAAACAGCTCGCGGTGGACCTTTAGCTTGGCAGCACATGTCTTTTCCTGCGCCGTTGGCTCTGTTAATGTTCAGAGTGATAGCTAGAGATGGGTTTGCGTGTTTCAACTGTCTCGTGTGACTCTGCCTTCTCTGCTTCTACCTCCCACTCCGGTTGTTTGGGAGAAAGTGTCACATTCTGAGTTTCTTCGCTGTCTTCTCATTCTGTTTCCCCCTCTACTGATAGACCAGTTTCCCTATCTGCTGCCTTAGAGATCGCTTCAACTGCTTTATCATGGACATCTGTACGAGGCACAAGGAGTAAGCAAACAGGCTAAAAGTCACCCAGGATTGGCCGGGAAGGCGGCTCAACTGATAGATTACTTATCGAGCACGCCACCAAATCCCAGGTTCAAGACCCAGTACCACAAGCTATCATCTTAGCATTCACGAGGTGGAGGCAGGAGGATCAGAACTTCATGGCTACATAGTGAATTTGAGGTCAGCTGGGCTACACGAGACCTTGTCGCAAACAAGTTCCTCCAGACACCTCGGTGACTTGAGGTGTCAAAGATTTCTTGCATTTCACATTACATAGTCGTTGGGAGGTGGCAAAGGCAAGCAGATGGAAGATCTGCCATCTCCTAGCGGGCCATCTGGAACAGGTGGCTTCCAAGGTCACCACAGAGGGGAAGAGAGAGGATAGCGTCTTCAGTTGAGTTTCCCAGAAACAAATTTGAGACAGAAATTGGCATGCAGGATGTTAGCTAGGGTGAGGACGGCAGGATGGGGGAGGAGCCATGGCATCAGAGGGTCTCCCCATCACACAAGGCCATCACATGCCCATCACACAAGGGCTCCACCATGAGCTTCATCGTTCACAACTGTCCCGGATAAAGAAAGTAGGTCAGGACTTTGAATTCTTGGTAGATGGGGATGGCCTGACCCTGAGAAGGGAACATAATGAAGGCAAGATTGTGCCCTTTGACCCAAAACAGTTTCCCCAAAAGACGTGAGCTGGCCAAGTTCTGAGTGTGTAAAATTCCTCTCAGGATTGCATGGTTGGCTTTGCAGGTAAAGGCGCCTACAGCCAAGCCTGACAACCTGAGTTCGGTCCCCAGGATGCAAATGGTGGAAGGCGACCACAATTCCTCCTACTTGTCCTATGACCTCTATTCAAGTACTCTCTTCTCTCTCTCTCTCTCTCTCTCTCTCTCTCTCTCTCTCTCTCTCTCTCACACACACACACACACACACACACACACACAGTAAATAAATAAACATTTTAAATGTGAAGAAAAATGCACTGTAATTTCAAGGCATTGTGCTGCTTTGAACTGTCCTGGCCTAGAGGTAGCTCTGCCTGGAAACATCACCAGACTCTGACCAAGCTTCAAGCAAGTCTAGGAAGTGGGGAAGCACTTGGGTTGGCTGGTGGATGCTGACTATCCTGCCATCCCTGACTTCTTGGGCCTGAAGCTTTTTAACTTTGAACAGCTCTGCACATGCATAAGTCGTGACTACGAGTGCCACATTAAAATCTCTCTCATTCTTTGGAGAAATAGCCAGGTCTCTGTTTCGCTTTTTCATAACAGTCTTTCTGGACTGTTCTGAAAACCTCCTTTGCTCTTCTTTCAGTTGCTAAATTCTTCCTCTGCCAGGCCTAGTCTTCAGCCTGTCCTTTTCATATATTTTTCAATATCACTTTTGTTTGATCATTTGTTTCTAGAAGTTACTCTAGGCCCTTTTTAAATGTTCCCTCTTTATATTTGTTTCACTGAGCCCAGTTCTTTTATGTTTCAGTGTCTTCTTCAAACTATTTCTTCCTCCTCCTTCTCCTCTTCTTCATTTCACCTTCTCTCTCTTCGTTTTTTTTTTTTCTTCTTCCCTCTTTTGCTTTTTGGGACAGGGTCTCACTGTGCAGTCCTGACCGGCTTGGAACTTTCTACATAAATCAGATCAGCCTCAAACTTAAGGTGATCCTCCTGCTGCTGCTCGAGTGCTGGAACTGCAATTGTGCTCCACCACACCTAGCTGGGACTCCATCCCTCCTATCCTCTTTTTAAATCTATTATTTTTGAGGTTTTATGCATTTTTATTTTGTGGGTGTTTGGCCACATGCAGTGCCCACGGAGGCCAGCAGAGGGCATTCGATCTCTTGGAACTGGAGTAAAGGATGGTTGTGAGCCACCAGGTTGGGAACTGAACCTAGGTCAGCCGGCAGAGCAGCCCGTACCCTGAACCGCTGAGCCATCTATTCAACCCTCATGCCTCCATTTCTGGCTCTGCTCTTGCAGAACTGCCGCTGTTCCTGAGTGTGCATGCTTGCGATAAGGTGGAGAGCCTTGAGGGAGGCTTTGTGCTTGCCTTTGGGAACTGCAAAACCTTGCTCTCTTTCCGTTTGTAGCTGCATGACTTATCCACTGGAGATATCTTGGTTCTCAGAGACAGTGTAGATTTTGACCAAAACCCCACATACAGACTACCAGAGGGGTCTGAATTCTTGGGAGTTTGTCTGAGTTAGGGTTTTCATTGCTGTGAATAGACACCATGACCATGGCAACTTTTATAAGTGAAATAGTTCAACCCAACTCGGAAAGGGGGTTGAGATAGGCTCTTAGTTCCACCTAGATAATTTTTTAAGCGTTGGCTAACAATATCCTGTAACAAATGCCAGAAGAGAACTCAAACCCATAATTACTATAATCTCCCACCTCAGATCGAATTGGAGATCTCTGATTTTATTGATTTCT